CCCCCCCCCCCCCCTTCTCTCATGTCCCAATCTCAAGAGAACAACACCCCATCATCGCCTTGTTTCCTTCGTTGTCTTTGCTTTTCGCGCCCCGCTGGTCCGGCGCTGTCCTTAACCTCGCGCCGGAGCGTTGGCACCTGTGCATTGTCGGCCCCGGCTCCCGCCTGGGTGTTTTTTCCGTCCTCCCTCCCTGGCATGTGCGTGTGATGCGGGGAGTTCCACACATAGTTGGGGGGGGGGGGCGGCGCCCTCGCGCCTGGGTGACATCTCTCGGTGGCACCAGAAAAATGTGCCAGGGCACGGGGGGGGGGTCTACCAGCGGGCGCAGGAGGGAGGGCCGCCGCGAAGAAGAGCCAGCCGCGGGTCGGCCACTTGCCCTGGAGATTAACCGTGGGCGCGTCTCGGGCGATCGGCGGGGGAGGCGGGCCGGCCACGGGAGCAGCCCTACAACAGCAACCTGCCGGGCGTACGGGCGCACATGCCGGCAACGATCACCTCCCCTCTCCCTCCCCCTGTGTGCTTTGCTCCCCATCCTCCGGCTCGCCCGCGCGCCGCTCCCCGCCACCCTCCCTCTCCCTTGGCCCTCTTTGCCGGCCTCCCGCTTGCGCCGTCCTGGCCATGGCCTCGGTCGCCATGTCCGACCCCTCCGCCTCCGCCACCAGCACGGCCCCAGACCGGCAGGTGCCGGTGTCCTTCAAGAAGGCCGTCCTGCGTCATGTGCGTTGCCCGGGCCCAGCCTCCCGGGGGGCGCCTCTGGTGGTGCCTTCCGCCGCCCACCCCCCCCCCCCCCCTCCCCGCCATGCGAGACTGTCACTGACGCCTCATGCGGGCTGCCACTGGTTGCGCCCATTTCGGCACCTCCGTAGGCCAAACAGCGCAAGCAAGCGCAGCACGCCTCCCCCGAGGGGGGGACGGCCACCCAGCCATCGACTCCCGGCGAGCCGGCCACCTTGGCGGCGCCCCTGCCGGCTGTGGCCCCGCCGCCGCCGGCCGGCGAGCGCTTCCCCGGCGGCGCGCCCGCTGTCTTTGACATCGCCACCCTCTTTCGCCCCGGGCTAGCACCGGGCCCGGGGACAGCCTCGGTGCCGGCCCCGGCCCCGGCCCCGGCCCCGGCCCCGGTCACCGCTCCTGCCGCCGCCGAGCTGCCCTCCGAACAGGCCGTAGCCCTGGCACATGCGATGGCCGCCCTGGCCAAGCGCCATGAGGCGGCGCAGGCGCGCATCCGGACGCTGGAGCAGGCGCTGGCCGAGGCGCACACCGGGCCGCCGAGCGCCCCCGGCCCCGGCCCCAGCCCGGTGGAGGAGCAGCTCCGCGCCGAGGCGGCCGACGCCATGCGGCGCCTGGACGAGGAGCGCGCCCGGCGCATCCGTCTGGAAGAGGAGCTGGCCGGGCGGCAGGATGATCTGCGGGACCTGCGGCGCGCGCGGCAGGAGGCCGAAGCGGCCCTGGCCGAGGCCCTGGCCGCTGGCCCTGGCCCCGGGGCCGGGCCCGACCCGGCGGAGGCCGATCGGCTGGCCGGGCGTCTGGCCGCGGCCGAGGCCGCCGCCGCCGCCGCCCAGCAGGAGGCCGCCGACCTGCGCGCCGCCCTGGACTCCGAGCGCCAGGCACATGAGCGGTGCGTTGCTCTTTTCCTCCTCCTCTTCTTCTTCTTCTTCTTCCTTTCGTGACTCCCGCTGCCCCTTTTTTATCTGACCGGCATTCCGCGCGCGCGCGGGCAGCACACGTGCCGAGACCCAGCACCTGCTGGAGGACTCGCGCGGGCTGGTCGACGAGCGGGCCGAGCTGCACCAGCGCTTCCACCAGCTTACGGACGACAAGCTGGCCGCGGTGCAGGCCCAGCAGGCGGCCGAGGCCCGGGTCCGGCAGCTGGAGCGCGAGGCGACCAGCCTGCGCGAGGCCGCCGCACATGGGGGCACCCTGGCCGCCGCGCATGCCGCCCTCGAGGAGCAGCTGGCCCAATACCGGCGGGCATTGGCCGAGGCCGAGGCCCGAGCCGGGGGGCTGGATGCGCGGGCGGTGGCGGCCGAGCGCGCCCTGCAGGCAGCCGGCCAGCAGGCCGCCCAGCAGCAGGCCGACGCCGGCGGCCTGGCCGGGGCGCTGACGGCCGAGCGCCAGCATGCGGCCCTGCTGGCGCGCGAGCGTGACCAGGTCCTGGCCGAGCGGGATGCCGGGCTGCGCCATGCGGCCGAGCTGGCCGAGCGCCTGGAAGCGGCCACTCGCGAGCGGGACACCTTCCGCGAGCTGCTGCTCCAGTCGACGGTGGCGGCCGGCGGCGGGGCGTCCACCGGCCCGGCCGGTGCCCTGGGCGGGACCTCGCCATCCGACGCCAGCCCCCTGGCCGGCGATGGGGGCGACGCCGACGAGCCGGACGCCCAGGACCCGGGGGCCCCCTCGCCGGTGGCCATCCCGGCCGCCGGGACGCCGCTGCTGCTGCACAGCCTGCAGGAGGAGCGTGATGCCCTGCGGGCGCGCATCGTCCAGCTGGAGCGCAAGTTGGCCAGCTTCGCCCCGGGCGGCGGCGGTGGCAGCAGCAGCGGCAGCAGCGGCAGCAGCAGCTCCTCCCCCGGGCCGGGGAGGGCTCCGCAGGAGGCCGACCCCATGGCCGAGGCCACGGATCGGGCCAACTCGGTGGAGGTGTTGCTGGAGCAGGCGGAGCGCCAGCGCGACGCCCTGCAGGCCCGCCTCGACGCCCTGCAAAGCTCCTCGGCCGCGGCCCTGGAGTCGGAGTTCACCCGGGGCCAGGCCCTGGCCGAGGCCCTGGCGCAGGGGGCCGCCGAGCGCGATCGCCTGGAGGCCGACCTGCGCCATGCCCAGCACCAGATCCAGGAGTGCGTTTTTGCTTCCGGGCCCTCCTCCATTCTCCCTCCTCCTCCTCCTCCTCCTCTGACCGTGTCCTTTCCCCGCGGCTTTTCCGTCCCCTTCCCTCTGCTCCTATCCCCTTCTTACCTTTCTTGCCTCTCTTGCCTTTCTTGCTCCACGCTCCTCTGGTTCCTCTTGTCCCCGTCCCTTTTCTTGCCCCTCCTGTCCTGCCTGCTCCGCTGGGATTCCCCCCCCCCCCGGCCCTACGCTTGGCTGCCCGTGTGTATGCCCGTCGCCTCGCCCCCCTGGCATTGCCCCCCGCACCCCCTCTGGCACCCGGGCACAGACTCGTCAAGGATACCGAGAAGATCCCGGAGTTCATCCGACTGTATCACCGGCAGCGCGACGCGCTCAAGGCCCGGTCGGTGGCCAATGCCCAGCACATCGAGGAATTGGCCAGCCTGTGCGGCAAGCAGCGCGACGAAATTGACCGGCTCAATGGCGACCTGGCCCGAATGCGCCAGGAGCTGGCCACCACGCGCGCCGGCCGCCACGGCAACCCCAATGGCACCGAGACCGGCGCGGCTGCCCCGAGCGAGGACCCCGATCGGCAGGCCCCGGACCACGAGCATGGGCACGAACATGGGCATGAGCATGAGCCCTCGCCGGCCGTCACGGCCGAGCCCGGCGCGCCGGAGCTCGCCTCGCAGGCGGCCGACCTGCTGCAGCGGGTGCGCCATTCGCAGGACGCGTACCAGGCCGCGCGCGAGACCCTGGCCGAGCAGTCGATAACTTCCTCGCGGATCGTCTTCACCCCCTGCCCCGGGTGCCACGGCCCGGCGATCGATGTCTGAATGCCCGCCAGCACCACGGCGAGGGCCCGCCTCCCCCCTCCTGGTGCTGCGGCGGGGGGAGAGAGGGCTGTGCCGGGGGTCTGCGCATGCGCGGATCCACATATAAAGATATACAGCTACGACGCCTCGGATGGACGAGGCGTCGGTGTTCAGCCAGCCACTGTTCCAGCATCCCGGGGGAAGAGAGCGAGGCAGGGGGGGGAGAAAGAGGGAAGGGCCAAAGAACGGCAGCCCTGGTGGAGGAGCACAAGGACAGGATGGCATGCGCGCGCGTGTGGGACTGCCACCCTGGTCCCCGCCGGCGGGACGTGCGCAGGCCCCTGCCCGCGGCCGGCCCTCGAAAAAGAGTTGGCAGCATAGGGCAGTGGCGCCATGGCTCGGGCTCCAGGGGCTTGCCGCCGGGCGAGTAGTGCCACCGGGGCGGCCGATCGCCACTGGGCCCGGTGTCGCCACCCTGGGCGAGCGCCGGGGCGCTTCTCGCCCCCGGACAAACACCGCCAGGCGCCCCTGCAGATGCCCCCCCCCCTTGGCGGGCTGCGATCTGGGGGCGCGGCGGATCCCGGCCGGGTGGTGTGCCCCGTCTCTCCCGCCGCCAGGGGCCGAGCGGCCGCTCGCATGTGAGCAAGGGCGTGTGTGTGTGTGTGTGTGTGTGTGTGTGTGTGTGTGTGTGTGTGTGTGTGTGTGTGTGCGGGTGCGGGGGGTACAAAAGTCGCCCCCGCGCCGGCCCCAGCCCCGCAATGGAGAGACACAACACATCTTCCCTCCTGTACGGTGCCGATCCACACACGCCCCGTTTGGTTCCTCCCCCTCCCCTGTGTCCGGTTCCCCTACCCCCTCCTGCCCCTCCCCCCCCCCCTCCCAGCATGCCTCCCCGCAAGCGCGCGATCTCCGCCACGGCGTCCACGCCGGAGACCACCTCCCAGGAGGAGACGCCCACCCGGGCGGCCCCCCCCGCCGCCGGCCGGCGCCGGTCGCGTACCACCCTCAATGACGAGGCCTCCCAGCCGGAGGATGCGGCGGAGGATGCGGCGCCGAAGCGCCAGCGTGCCGACACGCCGGCCAAGGTGCGCGCGAGCATGCGCCCACTGCCCCATGCCGTGTCCCTGGGCCGAAACCCACTGCGCGTGTAATTTTCCCCCCATTGACTGACATCATTTCCTCTGGCCATGCCATCGACACAGAAGCCGCCGGTCGCCAAGAAGGCCGCCGAGACGCCGGAGGCCGAGACATCGGCCGCCGCCGCCGAGGCCCCGGCCAGTCGGCCGGGCATTTCCCGACCGGGGATCGGCATCCGCCGGCCGGGGGCCGGGTCGGCGCTCTCCCGCTCCACCGCTGGCACCGGCCCCAAGACCCCCCTGGCCGCGGGCAAAGCGCGCGGCGCCCTGTCCCGGGGCTCCACATCTGCCAAGGCCCCTGCTGCCAGCTCCAAGGCGAAGGCCGCCATCGCCAGCAAGGCCAAGGCCTCGGCCGGCTCCAAGTCCAAGGCCGCCGCCGGCGGCAAGGCCAAGCCCCGGAAGCGCGGCCGCTCCGACGAGGACGACCCCTCCGACGATGAGCACGCCGACGACCTGTCGGATCTCGATGACGAGGAGGACGAGGAGTCGGAGTCGGACGAGGAGGAAGACGACGAAGACGACGAGGACCACGGCCTTCATGGGGCCCGGCGGCCGGCGGCCGGCGGGAGCACCAGTCGCCCGGGCGCCCCCTCGCCAGTCAAGCACTCGGTGCCGGACATCCGCCAGTCCATGGCGACCACGGTCACGGCGGCCAACATGCGCCAGCCGAATGTCTCCTGCTCCGGGCTGGGCCCGGATGCCATGGAATTGCTGAGCTCGGCGGCCTTCGGCATTCGCCACCCGAAGGCCGTGGAGACGGCCAGCCATCCCTCGCTTCCCTTCGCGGCCACCCCCTCGGGGATGCCCTTCTGCCTGGTGGACTGGGTGGCCAGCCCGGTGCCCGGCACTGGTGGCGGCGACGGCGGCGGCGGCGGTGCCAATGACCGGCTCCCGGGGGCCGATGCCCGGGGCCGGTGCACCGGCGCCACGTCCGGGTACTTTGCCCAGCACCCGGCGGCCCTGGCGCGCGGCGCGGCCCCCGGGGCCGATGACGGCCACGGCGAGGCCATCGACCCCGTCGCCGGGGGCCCGCTCCTGCTGGCGGATGTCCTGCTGCTGGATGCCCCCCGGCGCACGGCCAAGGCCATGATGGCCCTGCTGGTGGGCACGCGCCCGGTCCAGGCGGCCGCCTGGGTGATGGCCTCCATCGAGGCCGGCCAGTGGCTGGGCTTCGAGTGGCGTCACAATGCCTCGGCGATCGGGCACCAGCTGCAGCCATTCACCCTGGACAGCTGGCCCGACTCCACCGGGAAGGCCGTGGCATTGGGGGAGTCCCGCTGGGCCCGGCCACAGCTGCCCCGGGTCCATGACCCGCCGCTGCTGGCCTCGCAGCCGGCCCTCTACCTGGCGGAGCCCCGGGCCCGGGCCGACCTGGGCCCGCTCCTGACGCAAGCCGGCTGCCGGGTGCTGGATGCCCCCTTCGGGTGTGATTTCCAGCTGATCCTCGCCAAGAAGGCGGCCGCGAACAGGGCCGCCGCCACGGCCGGCGCTGCCCCGTCGTCGTCGTCGTCGCCACCGCCGCCGTCGCCGCCCCGCGGCGCGGCCCTGGTTTCCGACCTGCCCGGCGTCCGCATTGACTGGGTGTTTGACTCGATCATCCATGGCCGGGAGCTCCCGATCGCCGAGTACCTGACCTCGGCCGCCCCGGACACCAAGGCGGCCCCGGCAAAGGCCCCGGCCGCCAAGGCGGCCCCCGCGGCGGGGGGGGGCCGTGGGCGTGGCCGCGCTGGCGCCGCCTCGCCGGCTGCCAGCCAGCAGCAGGATGACCACGCCCCGGCACTGCCGTCGGCCCCGCCGCCGCACCCTCTCCCGGGGCCGGAGGACCGGACGGTCTCCTTTGACGAGGCGCCGCTCTTTGGGGCGGCCGCCGCGGCGGCCGGCCTGTCCATCTGAGGCCCCCCCCCCCGCTCCCCGGGCTCCCCGAGCTCTCCCACCCTGCCGGGCATCGGCGAGGGGGTTGGGGGGAAAGAGAGAGCGCCAAAGAAAGCCCGCCCTGTCCTTGTGTATCTGCTGCCTGCTTGGTCCCCCCCCCTGTCGGGTGGGGCTTCCCCGACGAATGTACCCGCCCTTTTCCCTGGGGGTTTTTCTGTGCATATCTAGGAGGGGCGAGAGAGGAAGGGAACATCAATAAAAAGGGAGAGACCCGCTCATGGAGGCGCGGAGGGGTGGACCGAGGTCCGGGTGAAGGCGCGGGCCCGGCCACGCCCAAGGCAACAGCGGCGTGCACAGTTTGTATTTTTTTTATTTCCCTTCCCTGGTCGCGAAATAAGACAAGCAGCGGGGAGAGGGGGCCTTGCGCTCAGCACGCGCGCAAATAGGGCCAGACGCAAGGACATGTGTAGATGTGGAGAAGCAGCGGTGAATGGGGGGGGGGGGGGGGGGGAGCTGCCTGGCCCCCCGCCCCCGCCAGACATGATATGCCCGGGGGGGGGGGGAGCCTCAGGCCGAGGATGGCGATGGCAGCAGGTGCCCGCCCGGCGGGACGAGGCCCCGGGCCCCGCCGCCGGTCCGGTGGTGGTGCTCGTGCCACTCGTGCAGGAACTCGATGCTCTCGCCCACCAGATTGGCGGTTTGGATGAGGGCCGTCAGCTCGTTGCGGAAGAGCACCGGGCTCCGGGGCCCGGCCGGATCGCCATTGAGCAGGACCTTCAGAGCGGTGCCGTAGCCCAAAATCTGGACCTTGCCCCACAGCCGGCACTTCTCGCACTCGACGCAGTCCATCAGGCGCTCGAGCTGGCGGAAGCGCTCGCGGAACTCCGACTTCAGGCCCCCGGTGTCGGAGTTGAAGAGCTGGTCCGCGTCGAAGGTGGGCGGGAACTCGCGCGCATGTTCGGTGATTTCGGCGATCAGAGCCTGTGTGTGTGCGCAACGGAAGGTGAATGAGTGGGGTGAATGAGTGGGGTGAATGAGTGGGGTGAATGAGTGGGGTGAATGAGTGGGGTGAATGAGTGGGGTGAATGAGTGGGAGTGAATGAGTGGGGGTGAATGAGTGAGGTGGAGTGGGCCAAAGGACCGAAAGGACCAGGACAGCCACCAGGACAGCCACCAGGACAGCCACCAGGACAGCCAAGAGGATTGGGAAAGAGCGGGCGCAGACACGGGAAAGAGGAAGGAAGAGAGGGCACGCACCGCCGCGCTGTCGGTGAAGCCCAGCTGCGCATTGGCCGGCAGCAGGAGATCCGGCCGGTCGGCGAGCTTGGCGATGGCCTGGTGCAGGACGCTGTACGCGAAGTAGAGGTTCCGCACACGCTCCGGGTGGCTGACGACCTTCTTGTAGAAAAGGTCGTGGTTGAAAAACTGCACCAACGCGTGCCGGAGATGGGGGGG